GCGTGTCGCGCCGAGGAGAGAGCGAGAGGGGGGGCGGGCGGCCTCTTTTGACTTCTCTGCTGGTGCAGGTGCCAATGTCTTGCTCCTGCCATGGTGTTGAGCACTCCCCAAGGTTGGTTGTAACCCTTCCCCTTGCTTCTCCCCCATGTCCAGCATGACGCGATCCACCTCCATCACACGGGCACCTTCATCTCTCCTACAATAGGAGGAAAATGGGTGATTTTGGGGCTTACAGTCCCCAAACCATTTGCCAATGCTTTTTTTTTTTCCCTAGGAGATAAGCTTTGGAGGTGTGTGTGAGTCCAAAGCCTCTGCCCCGCCCCCCCGACCCCGCCGTCATGGGTTACACCCCGTTTCACCTAGGGGACCCTGTTTTCACGCGGGGGACGGGTGAAGGCAAGCTCCCGGCAGCAGCTGGGGACACGCTTGGGGACATGCTGAATGCGTCATAAAAATTCCCGTTCCTAGCTATATTAATTTTATACTATGAAAGTGTATGGATTTTGTTAATATAGATTTAGTTCACATTATACACTGCAATGTGATGAGGGAGTGGAGTTTTACTGGAGACTTTGGTATTATTGTTCATGCTTAAGTAAAATAAACTGAAGGCCAGCCCGGCTTGCACACTTCATCCCTGTCAGCTTTGCTTGGCCGCAGGGTGGTGTGCTCAGAGAGGGGTGAACATTGATTGCCTGGGGAAGGGGTGCAGGGGTGTGCATGCTTGCGTGCTCTGCGCATATGCGTGCAGCTGATCTCTATGTATGTGCATGCAATCTATCTGCATCTTTGCCTGTGCCTGCAAGTGCATGCTTTGTTGCACACATCTGCATGTTGTGTGCACACTGTATGCGTGCATGCTGTACATATGCCCGTGTGTGCATGCACGTGCCGTCTGCATTGCATGTCTATATGTGCATGTACACGCTGTGCACATTTGCTGTAAGTACACGTGCCTGTGGGCTGTGTGCTTGCACACACGTGTGCAGGTGTGTACTGTGCTTTTCTATGCGTTTGCTGTGCCTGTATTGTGTGCCCCATGTTTGCACGAGTCCATGTGTGTGCATGTGTGGCATGTGCAGGTATATGCCGTACACATGTATCACGCTCGTGTGCATCTTGGGCCATGTCTGTGCTTGCCTGCAAATGCGTGTGCACACTCTGTGTGTGTGTGTGTGTGCGCGCACCTGCTGTGCATGCTTGTACACGTGTGTGGATCATGCCAGGGTGTGTGCAGGTGTGCTACCTGAGTCCCACACTGTGCTTGCATTTGCTTGCACATGGTTGTTTGCCGGTGTGTGCATACGTGTGCGTCCGACCAGTGTGTGTCCTTCTGATGGCCACTGCTGGGTAACTCCACCTGCTCTTGCCTGCACCAACAAGCAAGGGGCCGGAAAATTTTGCTTATGACAAATCCCACAAGGGGAAAAAAAAAAGGAAATGCAAGTTTTGGCTTGAAATAAGTATTTTTGAAAGCCACTGGGCAGCTGGGAGACTTGCCCATGGACTCTGGAAAAAGATGGTAACCCAGAAGAGAGCTAGTCATGAGCCCTGAGGCTGTAATTGCAATTTTTATTTATTTTTTAATAGCAAGGGCAGACACTCAGAGACCTGGAGTCTGGGAAGAAGGAAGGAAGGAATTTCCAGGTGGAAACTTAGGACTTAAACACCTAAGGGAGAGCAGATTGGGCTGCTTCTGCATGATCTTTGTACCATCACGTGCCAAAGGCTGCAGGCATCTCCAGTGACGTGGTGCCTGCTTCAAATTTCCAGTTATTCCAGTGGGGGGAAAAAAGCCTCA